AAGAGAGATAGTGTGGTGCAGTGATTAGTGTGTTGGATCAGGACCTGGGAGAACAGGGTTCAAATCCCCACTCAGGTGTGAAGCTCACTGAGTGACCTTGTCACCAACGCTCCGACTAACCTACTTTGCTGGATTATTGTGAAAATAAAAATGGGAGGACCAGGCACATCATCGTGAGCTCCTTGGAGAAATGGTAGGATATGAATTTAATAATAAATAATTCTTAAGGTCCAGACTAGGGTTCTGCAGGAGCTGTTGAACAGCAGATGGGCTGCCTTCTCTCTTAAGGAAGCCTTTATGACATTCTGGATCCAGCCACTCCCTCCCTGCTTAATATAATTATAATAATATTATTATAATAAGCCAAGAGGGGCAGCAGCTGATTGACTGCCACTTATCAAAGCACCTCAACCATTTTCTCAGGCCTCCAAAATTATGTATGGCTGCAAGGGAAAGCTACTTGTGACTTTCAAGCATCTTTCAAGTATCTATGCATCTATCTGACAAACCTTTGGTCAACTGCCCCTCATTTCCCTTCGAGTCCTGTCCATAGCAAAGCTGTGAAATTTTACAGCCATGGACATAGGCAGCATATGTTAGACCTGCTCGGTCTTCACCTTGCGGCCTTTTGAGTTAAAATGAAAGCTTTAAACTTCTCTTTCTTTCCAGGTTTTAGAATTATTTGTATTTCTAGGTTGTGGCAGTTTAGGCTGGCTCCTTTCCAGGCTGCAGCCTTCATGTCCCTGTCAACAGAAGCCTGTAGATTACATTTAGAAATTTGCAAAAATCTGACACCTGCCACTTTCCATTGAGCTTTGGGTGGAAAACGTCCCTGGCCTCTTCCATTTTTAATGTCAAAGTCAGCCTGGCGGAAGATATCACCTCCAGGTAAAGTCATTCATAACAGGAGCTCACAATGGCGAAGTTCCTCCTTCTCCTTTGCGAAGCTGCTGTGCCAGAAAAAAAGGGCCATGGATTTCACTGCTGCTCAGCACAGATGTTCAACTGAGACCTGATCCCAAATCATCTGTTGATAGATTAAAAGCCACAATGTCTGTTCAGGTTGCCGTCACTATGCCAAATGCAATGCTTGATCAAGAACAGCAGCAATTTTCTTTGTATACCAATTTCTGGTATGAAATTATAATCACCATCATTGTCAAATACCCACCCTTCACTCTAAGGTCCCAGGGCAAGTTGAAACAGTAAAATACAATATTAAAAGCAGTTTTAAACAACTTGCAATCACAAGGATTGTCACATGGAAGATGGAGCAAGCTTGTCTTCTGCTGATCCAGGACCCAAACCAATGGATTCAAATGACAAGAAAGGAGATTCTGACTAAACATTAGGCAGAACTTTCAGGTGGTAAAGCTATTTGACAGTGGAGCAAACTACCCTGGAACATGGTGGACTCTTCTTCACTGGAGGTTTTTAAACAGAGGTTGGATGACCATCCATCAGGATTATTGAGCTGTGCTTCCTGTATTGCAGGGTATTGGAGAAGATGACCTTACAACTTACAATTGTGATTCTATGATTTCATGTCATAGGATCATCATTTGTCATAAGTTGGGGGGGTGCTCTTTCTGAGCGAGTCCTAGCGTTCCTCAATATTTTTGCTTGGATTTTGATTGTATTGTATACAAAGTAATTCTCCCAGGTCTGAGAATTCTTCTGTTCTGCAGCTGTGCCTTGCGAAAATCCGATCTTACCCACTGAATTGGATCTGATCAGATGTGTGTAAAATCAGAGAGAGATTTGCTTTACTGAGCTTCTGATTCAGCAGGTAACATTACATTTCCCCAAGGCACAGCTGTGGAACAAGGCCCAGGGGACTTAATCAATACAATCAATACAATCAAAATACAGGTCAAGTTAAAGTGTTGGTGAGCCCTGGACAACTGTGAGCTCTCTAGCGTACTTGAAGCCTATATTGTGCCCTTACTTGTCCTGTCCTGCCTGGGCCTCCTGCCCCAACTGAGATCTTGACCAGATCATCAGATATGCCTGAACTACTGCCCATCCTCAGCCTTGCCCTTCAGGTCACAGCCTCTGCTCTATCAGTGAGTGTCCTGGGATCAATATGGCCTCCTTTGAAACCCTAAGCTGGGAGAAGATAGGACACACAAAATCCAATCATGTAAAAGAACTCCAAGATACCCAACCTAACATGGAAGGGACAGGTAGGTAGCCGTGTTGGTCTGCCGTTGTCGAAACAAAATTAAAAAATTCCTTTGAGTAGCACCTTAGAGACCAACTAAGTTTGTTATTGGTATGAGCTTTCGTGTGCATGCACACGAAGGGACATTTATACATCTTAGCATGCATAACCACCACTGCTGAGTTTAATATATTCCTTTAGGGCAGTACAGAGTGGGCTTATTTGTGTGTGTTTTTTGCTTCCTTTTAAATAAAATCTTCAGAAATTTGCTGGATGCGCCAGAGCTGAGTATTATAACCAGGATGTTTTAAAATAGAAAGAAATAAAAGCAAAGTGATGTCAGTCTCTTCTCACTAATGCCGTAAGATACTGATGCTCTTTACTTATGGATGAGCCCCTCTCATTCCCACCTGGTAGCCTCAGCAGCTTCATGAATATTTACATCTGTGAGGGGGGAGAGAATCCTTCCATCACCATCCTCTCCCCACTGGGACCCAGGAAAGCAGTTTCTCAAAAGACACCAAGCCATTAGACATACGCACAAAAACATGCCCACTTTTCTGAAAATAGCACACAGAATCCCTAACTCACAGGTTCTGTCTTTTGTAAGGGAAGAGTGAGCCTGTTTAGCAAGCTGGCAAGAAGGGGACAGAACAAAGGATCCTAATGAGAGCCAGAGCGGTGTAGTGGTCAGGGTGTTGGACTAGGACCTGGGAAACCAGGGTTCAAATCCTCCTCAGCCATGAAACTCATTGGGTGAGGGTGAGGCCATGGGTGTAGCCATGGGGGGGGGGAAGCAGCAGAAATTAAGTAAAAATAAGTAAATAAGTAAAAATCAAGTAAATGAATAAAAATACTTAACTAACTGGCCAATTGCATCACAGATAACTCTGTTCTGCCCCCCCCCCCAACATAAAGCCTGCCCCTTGTAAAGTAAATATTGGCTACACCCATGCCTTGGGCAAGTCACTTACCCACAGCCTAATCTATCTCAAAGTGCACCCTCACCCGCATTTTTCTATGCACTGCCCAGTACAATTGGCAGCTGATTAAAATTCCCAGAGCTCCCTCCTCAACCAGAGAATGAGGATAACCAACAAGAAACTGTGGCAGAAGAGGCTCTGCATTATCTGTGATGCCTACAGAATTGGACCATCTACCTACAATTTTGCATTTGATTTTGAACCTTTATATATATATATATATACCAGAGATGGCTGAACTTAGGTAAAGGGATGCAGAAAATGAAGGTTCCTCCACATTTCATTGCAGCACATTGAACAATGCTGGTCAGCCCACGCTCAAATTTCACCTCAGACGTTAATTCCGTTTGTGTGACCTTTACAACCTATTACGTCAACCTCAGTTCATCATCTGCAAAGTGGGAATAGCAACCTATTTCAAAGCACTGCTCCCGCAATTTTGAACTGTTTTGAGTTTTATTTGATTTCATATGAATTATTTTAAATTCTGCACTGCTTCAGTAATCATATACTATTTATAAATTCATTATCAAAATCAATCAGTAAGTTAATGTGAGAACAAAAAACCACTTTGTATTGCTAAAAGAGTTCTAATAATAATAAACAAAACCCAGTAAGAATTCCCACAACTGCTGCTCTCTTTGTCTGGTCTCAGCTGACACTGAAGAGACAGTTAAACTGTGGAACTCACTTCCACAAGGGCCAGTGATGGCCACCACCTTGGATGGCTTTAGATGAGGATTAGACAAATTTATGGAGCAGGATAACAATGACTACTAGCTATGATGGTTGTGCTTTGCTTCCACAACCGGAGGCAATAATTCTTCTGATTACCAGTTTGCTGGAAGCCATGGGAGGGGAGAGTGATTATGTGCTCAGGTCCTTTTTACTGGTTTTCCACAGGCATCTGGGTGGCCACTGTGAGAACAGGACGCTGGACTAGATGGGTTGCTGGCCTGATTCAGCAGGCTCTTATGTTCTTAGATTCAAAATCCTGTTTTGACTAATGCAGAATTTGAGGAGAGAAGGCTTACAGTACTCCTGGTGTGGAAACAATCTAAAACATTTCAAGAGAATATTTCCTCAAGTCCCTTCCACCTCCTATCAATGCATTCCAGGTTACAGCATGAAACAGTTCAAGCATATTGTTAAGAGAGATCTTTTGCCTTCAGCTGCCATAACAAAGGCACTGCTTTAAATTAATCTGCCTTCCACACACCAGCACTTATCTCTTTATGTAGAATAAGGGATATTTATGTCGTTGCCTGGAGCCAAAACTCAGCAGCAGGGCTCTCCTTAGCTCTCTGCAAAATATTCTCATCTCTCAACTCCTTTTGTCAAGTTTTCCAGCATATTATCAGAACCATTATCCAACTCTATTGTGTTCCACTCCTCTCCCTCCTGGACAGTCCTGCTTATTTAAGGAGGGCAATAAGATATCCCCCACCCCAAATACTAGGGTGTTTGTCTATATTGAAGTATATCAAACAAATCAATACCAAAAACAGTGTTATTAGAATTTCAAGGTCTTAAATATAAAATAAATATTCATAAATGCACACATATCTAAATATATGAACCACGTGTCTGAAATAGTATGGGAGAGCAATCCTGAAGCCATTTTGACTCTCCCAATGACCTCAAATATTCCTCTGTAGTAAGGGAGGCAAATGGGGAAAGCCTTCCCATTGTCTTTTTGCTTTCAAATCCTGTCTTAAGGCTGTATTTGTGTGTGGATAGGGTAAGCCTGTGACCTGGATTCAGGAACAAAAGAATGGCCAGACTGCCCAGGTAATGCAATCAGTGGCCATTATCAGGTGTTCTGGAAAACAGAACAAAAATTTTTAAAAATCCTTCCAGTAGCGCCTTAGAGACCAACTAAGTTTGTTATTGGTATGAGCTTTTGTGTGCATGCACACTTCTTCAGTGTTGGTCTTAGTTGGTCTCTAAGGTGCTACTGGAAGGATTTTTTATTTTTATTTTTTTCAACTACAGCAGACCAACACGGCTACCTACCTGTACCTGAAAAACAGGATTTCTGTTGTAGGTCACCTCCTCTGCTGTAGACTGCCTCCTTCTTTGATGTACGTACGATGTTTCAGGGGGGTGGTCTTGGGCTACAGGGTGGGCAATTTCAAAAGTCTGTATAAGGGCTTGCGCATCATTGTTCAGGGTTCTCTCCTCCCTCCTGCATGTGGTGAGTGGGGACCCTGTTGCAATAGTTCCTTTAATAAAGTTCAGGCTTACTAGATGCTTTGCTTCTCAGTATACTCTGGTTGACCTCCTACCGATAGGGAACTTTAGAAAGACTTTTTACAGGCTCTGGAATACCCCATAAGGGGAAAGAATCCTACCTGATCTTGATGTATATACTCACTTAATATTTTTTTTAATTAATTTATTATTATTATTATTATTATTATTATTATTATTATTATTATTCTGGTAGCTAAAATATTTGCAAATAATTTATAATCGTTATTTAATTGAGAAATAGGCCTATAATTTTTTATTCGCAGCAAATCAGAATCTTGTTTTGGAATTACTGTAATATAGGCTTCTTTCCATGTTTCTGGGATTTCACCTGTTTTTAAAATCTCATTCATCACATCTTTCAATGGATTTACCAGTTGTTCACTTAGTTTTTCATAATATTTTGCCATTAATTCATCTGGTCCCAGGGACTTGTCACTTTTTGGTCCACCATGATTCTAACTCTGACATGATGCTGTGTGCTTCCATTTTGCAGAAGCAGATCTCCCAAGAGGTATACCCCAAAAGGTATAACGTGTACCATTTGGGATGCCATTCTGGTTAAACTTGGCTGCAGTCTGTTTTAAGTTGCTCAGGGACTCCTTCCCATACACATGAAGCACACAAAGACCAGATTGGATATGCCTGTTCCCAAAGATCTAATTCAACTCCCACCACCTAACAGCTGTTTAATTTACTGGGAGAATGCATGACAAGTCAGTCTCTCTCTTTGTAATAACCAAATTACAGGAGGTCAGAAAATGTTGATGCAACGTAAGCCAGATATCTTTGACAAGGAGGCCTGAAAGTATTTGGTTTAACATTTGCCTTCCTGGGAAAAGGAAGGCAAAGTTGAATTGGGCTGCAAATGTAGCTGTTATTGCATCAGCCATTGTATCTGTGAAAATATTACCTACATATTGTACAGTGTGATGCACACACAAAAAGCCTTTTGTGGCCCCCTAATGACTGTCACCATTTAAGTTAATCCTTTTCACATTAAGGAATGATGGAACTTTATCTTCTAAGCCTTGCAGGATGACCCAGAACTGTCGGCATTTCCTTAATGTGGATCCAGGCTGTGAAACTCCTATATTTTTAGACACTAAAAATGTCAAGCTTTCATTTGGCTATTGCAATGGATAGCTCTCCCAACAAGGAATGGCAGCGATTGCTTCCTGAAAACAATGCTAGACACGCTCTCTGTTCCAAGGAGATTTGTTAACAACTGGAAAGATGAGAAAGCAGAAAGGCCACCTCTCCCAAAACAACAAGGCAAAGGAGCTGATCTTTCCGAGAACCATGCTTTAGCTTTCCCCAAAACTGTTGTGTTTTTGAGACATCATCTTCCATGGCTAATCATCACAGGGAGACTTCACACTGGTGGCCACCTTGGAAGTGCATAATGAGCCAGCGGCATAGTGAATATGGAACCCCATATATGCATTTGTTGTTGTTGTTTAGTCGTGTCCGACCCTTCGTGACCCCATGGACCAGAGCACGCCAGGCACTCCTGTCTCCATGGAGTTTTCTTGGCAGGGATACTGGAGTGGCTTGCTGGTTCCTGCTCCAGGTGGATCACGTTTGGTCAAAACTCTCCACTATGACCTGTCCATCTTGGGTGGCCCTGCACGGCATAGCTCATAGCTTCTCTGAGTTATTCAAGCCCCTTCGCCACGGAAAGGCAGTGATCCATGCAGATGCATAGCTTACATTAATACGCAGAATATATGGTGATGGCATGTGCAAAACATTCATATTGTGGTGCCACTTGAACCTTCTGTGGCAATGTCTTTTTCACTTTTTGGAAAACACTCTTAAGGCTTTCTGTCTACCATTTCAATTTAGGTTCTCTCACTGGCCATACTAAGTAACATATTTGAAGCTATCCCTTTCTTCTGGGTTTTCCTTTCAAGCTGCTAAAGGAATTCCGCCCCACCCTTGATCTTTCAGAGAGATGAGCTTCATTGTCTAAAAGTGGCACATCTTAGGTGTGGTGTAGTGGTTAAGAGCGGTAGACTCATAATCTGGTGAACCGGGTTCGCGTCCCCGCTCCTCCACATGCAGCTGCTGGGTGACCTTGGGCCAGTCACACTTCTCTGAAGTCTCTCAGCCCCACTCACCTCACAGAGTGTTTGTTGTGGGGGAGGAAGGGAAAGGAGAATGTTAGCCACTTAGAGACTCCTTCGGGTAGTGATAAAGCGGGATATCAAATCCAAACTCCTCCTCCTCCTCCTCCTTCTCCTCCTTCTCCTCCTCCTCCATTGTGGCTTGAAAGGCAAGGCCTTCTAAGGCACAGGTCTTCCACCAGCCGGTGGGTCGAGGCCACACCAGGTGAGTCTCAGCAAAGCTGTTGTTGCCACATCGGATTTCAGTTTAGGCTGACCAGAGCAAAGGAGCACTACACGCATGTCTGGATTATGACACGTTCTTCTGATGAGATCCTCATTTTATCAATTTCCACAAATGCTGCAGTGTGGCAGGAGAAAGATCCACAAGGCTTTATTATTATTATTTTTAGTACGATATATATTTCTGGTTAACCACTTGCTCGTGCCTTTCTCCTGCCACACTGCAAGAATGGTTTTCACTTAGTAGTAATGCTAAGGTAATAGTAGGTATACTCAGTGGGGGGTTTTCAGGGGGTACTCCAGGGTACGCACTAATGGCACCTCTTTTTGTTGTTAAAAAGTGTGGCACTTACTGTAACAACTTCATGATGAGTACCGGCACCTATTTTCTATGGGGGGGGGGAGAGCACTGCGTATATTGCTCTGTGAATTGCCATTTTAGGATTAATAACAAACACTACAAGCACTGTTGTCTTTGTCCATGGAGTTTTCTTGGCAGGGATACTGGAGTGGCTTGCCGGTTCCTGCTCCAGGTGGATCACGTTTGGTCAAAACTCTCCACTATGACCTGTCCCCTTCGCCATGGCAAGGCAGTGATCCATGAAGGGGATGGGAAAGACCCTGATGTTGGGAAAGATTGAAGGCACAAGGAGAAGGGGACGACAGAGGACGAGATGGTTGGACAGTGTTCTCGAAGCCACAAACATGAGTCTGACCAAACTGCGGGAGGCAGTGGAAGACAGAAGTGCCTGGTGTGCTCTGGTCCATGGGGTCACGAAGAGTCAGTCACGAAGAGTCGGACACGACTAATCAACTAAACAACAACAAAATAAGCACTGTTAAGTATAAAGAAAAAAAGGGATCCGACGTTGCAGCCTGGGAGTCAGAGGTCGGTCTTCGGTCTCAATCAGTCAAAGACCACTGTTCTAAGGGAAAGCAAAGTGCAAACATGAAGAATCCCAACTTTAGATGATAAATATATAAATATGAAGTCTTACTGATAAGCCACTGTCCTTTATAATCTATGTTTAAACTTTTTTTTTAAAAAAAATACTATTAGAGTTGGATTTTCCAATCAAATTTAAAAACCAGCTGGGTAGTGGCAATCTTCAAAATCCCTATTTTAATTTTGGGCACTCAAACTATTTAGCATAGGACCCAGGCTCCATCAAGAGTCGTGTTTTACTGGGCCTTATGTGGATCAAAACTTCTACAAAACTGAATGACAAAAAAACAAAATCAAAACGGACTTCTCAAGTATCAGGATTTAGAAATCTTATTTTATTTTGGCAATAAGGTTACAAATTGGCCTTTTGTACAATGACTGCAGAGTTCAAATTACCTTGTCCTTCTCAACTGCATAGTAGGCACAGCTTTGCAGGTAGCCTTGCTAAATATATTGGCAGAGTCCATTTACAAAGAGACCTTAGGTTCTTCTGCAGGTGGTTTGTCAAAACAAAACAAACAACCCTACTAAGCAATTTATGTGTCTGTCTAAAATACTTTTGCAACTAGGCTTCTATCTATCCAGCAACATAAAAAACTATCATATCTGTATCACTTTGCTTTATCTTAACTATTTGGTTAAGAGTTCTGTGAGATTTGAAGGCTTACCATACACAGAAATGAACTACATAGTAGCACCTTGTACCTCTCATCACCATGGGATCTTTGCAGTAACAACTCTAGACCACTGCAGCAACATTTTAGGATGATCTTTCACATACGACAGTAAAACACAAAACACCGTCGCATAAATATTTCCCCACAGATTGTTTCCCTTGGCAGTCATCTTGTCTTAATTGACTGAATTAAATTAAGCTCCCTACTGTTCATTTTTCAGCTTTTATGCCTGCCACTCAAAAATTTGGGATTTTGTGGAGAGACCCAGAAAGGCAACCTGAGGTGACAGGCTTTCATAGCAAATTCTAGACCCTTTGAGCATCATTCTCATTTTATGTGCCCCCTTTGTTATTTGCCATATCTATCAGACAAACCTGACAGGAAGTTAATGTCTTCTGATTGGAACTCTTGCCAATATCACACATCCTATGGTGAACTTACCCGGGCTGTAACAAGGAGCTGGCTATAAATCACAGAGCACTATTGCCAGGGAAATCTCTTCACAAAATAGGGAAGGGGGTTGAAAATGATAAGAACAATTATCCACATATTTCTGAAGTGCCTCAGGTTATTCCTTGCACATCAATTCATCCAAGGTGTGTCTCTCCCCCCCCCCACCCCATTTCATTCTTTTTTAAGTTTAAAATGGGAGAAAATGCTTTAAAAGGGTTTTGTTTTGTTTTTTGCATACCTGGAGGAGCAGGAGATAACAGATCAAATGACCACAGAAAAGGGAG